CTCAGAGAATAAAGTCAAGTTCTGCAATAGTTTAAACATAAAGAATAAATCACATATCAATGAATGAAGGCTCAAAACTCACGGTTTTTAAAACTCAATTCAGTTGCAGTCAATCCTGTTTTAACTTATCATGACATCCACTTATTCAGTCATCAAAATGTCTATATACCTCACTTAAATAATCACAAAGCAAGGAATAAATCAAGGTTGCAGCTCACATAATTTAGAAAATCAGATTACATAAAACATATTACTGCATCAACTTGCTCAAATCAGAATTACAAAGCTCAAGTATGAACAACTCAAAGTCATAAATTAATGAATAGAGTCCCACATAAATGATATTTGTCATTTTTCTTCTGAATTTTAGTAGAGGACTCGCTAATCTTTAATGACCCTTTACCCTTTCCATGTTTCTTAATAACTTTCTTTTCAGCTCCTTGATTGTTCACATAATGAATATAGTGATTTCCTAGGTTATTAAGTCTGATCTCCTCTTGGACTAACATACTGTGCAATTCATGCACATTCCATTTGTCTTTTATGGTGTTATAGTTCATCTGGAACAGACCATACTCAGACGGTAACGAGTTCAAAATGAATTGCACAAGAAAATTTTCTTCCATTGCCATTCCAAGAGACTTAAGTCTTGCTGCGATATTTTTCATTTCGATTACATGTTCATGCAAACTACAAGAACTATCAAACTTCATGGTGGTCAACGTACTCACTAATGTCCTAGCTAGCGATTTATCAGTAGTTTGGGAGCGCTCTTCCACAAATTTCATAAACTCTTTCGCACCCTCAGTCTTAAGAAGAGAAGACTTAATATTGCTTGCTATACTCATTCGCATAAACATAAGGTTGAGTTTGTTTGACCTTTCTCAAGCTCTATAATGAGTTTTCTCTTCAACTTGGGAAGTCGATCTAACACACCTAAGTGAAATTGGACTTGTTCACTCTAGTCAGAGAAATTTAATCCATTAAAGACTGGAACAAAGTAAGCGAATGTAGAGATACAAGAATAAATATTTCAATTAACACATGACTAATATTAACGCTTTGAGTCATAAAAATTAAACATAAATACATATCCAAATATAAATCATCATCCTATGCATACTAATATTCTCTTTTGGGAGATCCACTAATACATAGGCATAATAATGCTAATAATTTTATAACATTAATGATAATTAAAATATTGGGTATATAAATAAAACTAGTGACACACAAAATTATCTACCTTCATACTCATTAATTATAATAACAATTAATCAACTTTTAGATGATCCTGAAATATTTTATAATAATGAACTTATAAATCAATTATTCATAAGTTTAGCGTTGATACTATGGATAATTGAAATAAAATCATTAATAATTTGAAATCAAATAACCTTAAAATTTTGGTCACTTTGGTGACTAACAAAATTTATCATGCTTAATTTTAAATAAATAACATCTTTAATTGCTATTAACCATTCATAACATTTTTTTTAATAAATATGTACTTTTTTTAATAAATATGTACATTATTCACATAATAAAATATTATTTGTCATAAATAAAATTAAAACTCATAATTTCAATTTTCATTATAGGATTGATTTTCAATCCAAGACTTTTATTTTATTGAAATTGTCAATTCAAAACTTTTATGCACAACTTATAGCGAAAAATAATTCAATTTGCAAAACAAAATTTGCAATTGATGCATGTATACACGCGCACAACAGTGTAGGTACCATGTAAAATAAAACTGGACACATCTTGCGACAATGCATTATGGGCACATCCAGTGATAGTGCATTATGGACACATCCAGTGACGAGTACATTATCGTGCAGTTACCAAACATTTACTACACATATTATACGTAGACAAAATAATATGTAGATGTAACGTAAATGCTAATTATTCACTACCAAAAAAGTCTCCCACAACATATAATAATAATGTATAATCGAAAAAAAGGAACATGGATTTGGCATGTGTGCTCTGCGAGCACTCGTGCATGATACATGCTAACAACACTTGCTAGTAAAATCATCAATTTTACCATTTACCTTTCTTACATCATAAGTATAACATATATTCCATCATAACTATAACATGCGGTGAAACCAATTTCATACATGATCACCCTAACTCAATCACATCATTTACCTTTTCAATTAAAATCAATTACGGACCATTCATGCATAGGGGCTATAAAATTGGTTTCAATTTGAACTTGAAAACATAATTAGGGTTTATTTCTTGTTCAATTTTGGGAAAAACAATTTTGGGAATAAATTAATATTTATGTTAATCCGATAGAGAAATTCATAAATTCATAATTAGGGTTTATCTTAAATTGGAAAGAAGATAATTTGGGAAAACTTTAAAAAATGGAAAATCATAAATTTAATAACTTGCTCACGATACCACATGTAAGTTTTAATTATGTAGTTTTTTTACGTTGCTTGTTCATTCCGAGAAAAATATTCGACAGGATCTTAGATTCATTATTCTCACATAATAACATAAATCATAATAAGAAGATTAACCTTGTTTCATGGGAGATATCTAATGAGAATGTTTTATTCAATGTCTTTTGTTCTTCAACCTCCTTTTTCCAATCTATCTCTTTGTCTTTCTTTCTCTTGTCACACTTTTCTAATGATTTAATGTGAGAAGAACATTATGACTAGAGATAGAACCTCAATCATCTTTCATTAACCTACGTTCATAAGTTGGTTACGGTAAATTTTTATTTTATTTTATATTTATTTTATTCTGATTTCTCTATTTTATTAAATTATATTTGAGTTCATCATTATATTTCACAAAAGTCATATAATAGAATGAATTAATTCTAACAATTGCATTACGTGAAGATTAAGTTTTTTTTAAGCCTTTAACAACCGTATAATTTTTTTATCTTTAATCGGTAACTTTTATTGAAAGTTGCAACTTTTATTTTATGAAATATGTATTATATAATACATGTAATCTGGATGAATAAAATTTCATTTCATAGTAAAAAAAAAACCCATTATATTTACAAATAAACAAAACATTCGTACAAGCTGTCATATAATAAAACTATTATGTTTTTTTTCTTACTACACGTGCTAATAAATTTTCCAAGTAATTTATGTGATGATTTTTTTTCTTTTATAGTTCAATTTTTGTTAATTCTTAAACCAATTATATGATAATGAAACTTAACCATAAAGATGATATAAAAACGAAATTTAGTAGAGATCAATAATTTTTTTTTGAGAATTTAAACATAATATTAATAAATTTATTAATAACAATAAATTATTTAAACTAAAAAATAATAAATAAACATACATTTATAGTAAACTAACGTAATCCTAACAACAATGACTAAATAGGAAAAATATATTCTCATAAAGTAAACAAAAAATTATGAGACATTAAAGAAACCATAAAAATAATAAATTTATTAAAGAGAAAAAAATGCATTTAAGTCATACTTATTTGTGAGTTGATGTGCAACCCCATCCATTAATGAAACCATCAAATTAATACATACATAAATGATAGTGCAAGTCATGCGTATATTTGTATAAAAAATTTACCTGTACAGATAAATTCTTAGTAAAACTTTACTCAAAACATATATAATTTTAACATTTCCAAATACTCTTCAAGAATTTACCTTAGAAATTATGAAAATATAAAATTAAAATATGTGCATATATTAATTTTTAACGAGATTATGTCAAAAGCACATGTCGGAAGACTTGGTTGGCTTCGCTGTTTCCTTTGTTTTTTAAAAATATGTTGATGTTTTACCATTGAAGGAAACCAGAATCACTAAGGTATGTTATTCTTATTCACATTCTTCTACCAAAAAAAAAAATTGTTGAAACGGAACAATTATTTTTTTACAGCATCCAAGAAATTGGTAAAACTCACCAAATGACGTAACTGTTACGAAAACAGATAAAAAAAATTAAAATTGCAACTGCTACGTTTGTTGTTTGAAGGTGACAGTGACACCCGCACCCGCGTTGTTGCGACTTATCCCTGTGAAGGGAGTTTGCGAGAGAATAGGCATGAAGGCCTCGCTCTATAATTAGGTATGAAACCAACGAGAGGTTCTCCACTTTTCCAGCCAATATATCTTCATCGAGTTAGAGGAACAATAGCATAATAGAAAATAAAGACTTTCGGGAGAGAAAACTAGGAACTTAGAAACTCATAGGTGAGGGAAACACTCAAGTTTTATTTACGGGTTTTTCGGATATCTTACAAAGGAGGGATACCTTCTCTTTTATAGCCAAAAGAAGGCATATACGGACAAACATAAATAATTTACATCAATTATACATATCTGGTCCAACTTTATCTTGTCGGCACCTTTATGTCACATAGCACACTTATCATATCTTATCGGTATCTTTATGTCACGTTTTACGACACATCTACCATATCTTGTCGATAACTTTATGTCTCATGGGTCTTCTCACATCGAATATATCACATGGGTCTTCTTCACACCGAATATCTTTATATCACATCATTTGAAAATGGGTTCATGACTTGGTGACAGATTTGGATCATCCGAGTCGAGTCTTCAGTGTCCATCATTAAGTCTTCATCATTATCTTCTTTCATCATGATAATTTGTCCTTCAATATTTGCCGATTCCATGTGAATTTGTCTACTTCCTTGGATATTGACAAGTGGCATCACCCTTTCTTCTTGATCATGGAAAGGTCCGAGTCTCCATCCGGCTTGCAGATTATATCTAAGGGCTTCGAGATGTGAACACGTGGAATTTTTGTTGATCATCTCCGAAAATGTTCCATTAAGTACGTGCAGTTCTATGATTAACTCACTTTGATAGAACGGAGGTTGATCTGTTGAGTAAAAATCTTTAACCTTGGAAATGTTGACCAAATTCGACTTGATTTTGCGTCCATAGTTCATGTGATTACGGATGTGCAAAATATGGCCTATGAATTATAGCAGCTGTGATGAAGTATTCGAGTTCCAACCTGTCATTTGTGTCCTGGTTAGCTCTTCATTGATGGCGTTTATCCACGAGAGAAATTGGTTGATACCGGCTTAAAAACTTAATTAATAAACTGGAACAATCTTCTTTCGGCATCTTTAACATCTTTTTTGTTGGGAAGATAATTGGATAATGATGCAGGATTGAGACACACCATAAGTACCATTGATCTTCTTACGTGAATTCTTCTCCCATAAGAATAGCAAAGATATTCGAAAAAGGAGTATCCGGGTTGAACCAATTTTGTTTTGGAGATATCTGGTGGTTTTGTAAAGACCTTGCTAGATATGAAAACATATTTTGTCTAGCAAACTGTTGCAAGGTTGCGGGAGTTTTTATGAAATCAAACCTTATCTCGGGTGGAAATGGATTTTGTGGATAAGGGTTAGAAGAGGAAGGTGGGTTTTGCATGAGAATAAGTGGGTAGGAATTGGTTGAAGAAATGATATGGATTGGTGAAGGCTTTGGTCGACTCGAATAATCGGGGACAATGTTGGTATTTCCTTTTATGTGTTTGATTGTGAAATCATATCGGGAAAACCATTCTTTCGAGCGGAGTATCCGAGGGTTTGGTGGTACTCGTTTTTGAAATCAAGCATCTTAGGAAATGCGAGTTGTCTAAATGAATTTCGAATTGATGTCCTCCGAGATGGAAATCAAATTTTTGAATTCCATATTTGATCTGCGGAGTTTCTTTGAACATCTGTGTGATAGTGTATTTTGTTTCTTTGAATGCTCACTGGCATGTCCACGGTAGAATTTCTTGTTTTCAATTTCTTCAATCAATACTGACACTCCAAAAATGGTCACTAGCATCTGTTTGTAATATTCTTTTTCCTTCTCCGGGAATTTTTAATGGTGGTGGATCTTGAGCAATCCTTTTCGAATTTTGACGCTTCGTTTGTTCTGTTCTCCATGGAGGAGGATTCTTCTTCAACATTTTTGAAAGTTTGGAGGTGTAGACTGCTATATTTGGAATGAAGTTTCTCACATAGTTCGGAATTCCTAGGAATTGTTGGATTTCTTTTGATGTCATATTCTCATCCGGGAATTTTGGCAAGTTTTCCACTATGTGTGGTTGTGGGACATATCTTCAGTGAAAGAAATGCATTCCAAGGAAATCTATTTCTTGACTCCAACCTCGATTTCTTTCTGAGAGCATCACTCCGTATTTGTAACAAAGATCATGGAATTCTTGAAGCAAAAGTTTGTGATCGACTTACGTGTAGGAGAATATCGAGAATGTCATCAATGTAGATTAGAGCACTGTGAAGGATGGGTTCAAAAATTCGAACCATGGCTTTTTGGAAAAGAGATGGAGCTACTTTTAATCCAAAAGGAAGTACAGTCCATTGGAAATGGGCATTTGGAATACTGAAAGCTGTTTTGGGTCTGTCTTTGGGGTCAAGGCCCAATTGCCAAAAGCCTGATTTTAAGTCAAACTTTGAGAAGAAATAGGCATCTTTGATGTAAGAGTGAAGAGAATAGATCTTGGGTAATGGAAACTTGTCATCTTTGATGAAAAGGTTTAATGATCTATAATCAATAACAAGTCTCTTCTTTTGTCGAATTTGTTCTGACCTTTTGTTGACATAAAAGGCTGGACAGGCCCAATCTGATTTGGTAGGCTCAATGAGACCCTGTTTTAATAGTTGTTGACATTCTTCTTGGGCTGCTTTGTAATCAGATGGACTCATTCCTGGATGGCTTGCTTTTGTTGGATTGATATCTTCACTCTTCTTGAAAGGGAGAGTAACAAAGAACTCTTCACGTTTCCACAAAGGATTTGGATGAGAGAAAAGATTATGGCTTTCTGCACATAATTTGAGTAACTTGGTTTTGATTTCTTCATATCCAGGAGGAACATCTGCTAATGTGAATAAATTTGAAACTGGCACAAAAGGTTTCGTCAATCTTTTGAATTTGATACCATCAGACAATATCTGCAGCTTCCGAATTTGAATGAGAACATCCCTTCCTATCAGAACATCCTTTCCATGTTTATCACTTCCAATTACCTTTATCCAGACTGTACAGCCAGGGAAAAATTGAATTCCTATCTTTTGTTTGGTCATCAAGGATGTCTGGAATACTTCTCCATTTGCTGCTCTAAACTTATGGATATCATTTGTCCATAGTTTAGCTGGAAGGATTATTGGATTCATCATTGTTTTTGTTGAACCAGTATCAATAAATCCTATAGCTTTAATTGGAACATCATACTTGGATGGAAAAATAGATATTTCTGTATTGGGAAGAGAAGGAACCTCGGTTTTACGTGGTATTAACCTCTTGAATCTTTAACACAGGAAAGTGTTCTTCACTCGCTAGATTCTTCGAACTTTCTTACGTATCGACAATAGCAAAAGTTGTCGGTTATCCGGTTCTGTTTGCTCTTCATATAATGATTCTAGATCATCTTCTTCCTGGGTTAGGAAGAGTTCTATCGACTTTGCAGATTTCTCTCTTTTGTTTGGACAATTTCTTGCAAAGTGTCCTTTACGTTCTGTAGATATGACATCTTAGATTGTTTCCTTTTCCTCTCGAATGGTTTGTTTTTGAAGAACCTGTATTTCTTTCCTTTCTTCAACTTGAATTTGGCTTTGGGAGGAATTCTTTTTGATTTTTTGTTTTTGCAATAACAACCATCTTCTTTGCACTTGGATTTGCAGATATTTTTTCTTGCAAGTTTTCTTGTATTTCTTCCGGTCCGATGCCATTTTGCTTGAACATTTTTTGTTGATTGCATAACTTTTCTTTTGCGGCAATGCAAGTCCGGTAAATTTCTCCCATAGTCATCTGCAAGATTTCTTTATTTGTCTTGTTGGAGTATCCTCCACATTTCATCTTGTAATTCTTCGGAAGTGAACTTACAAAAGTGTTTTTGAGACTGGGATCATTGACTCCATTGAGTCGATAAAACCTTTGACTCATTCTCGGATAATGTCTGTCAAGATCTTTCTTTTCCAAAGAACAACACTTCATTTCAAAGAATTCTCTTCGGACTCTTGATCCGAGCAATGTTGCATTCCCTAAGAAATGAAATTGTAATGCTCCAATGACTTCTTCAATAGTAGAATTATGAAGACTCTCTTGGTTGACTTGTTCCCGGGTGATATACCATTCTTTCGAATTCCTGTCATGCCCGCACAGAATTCTTCTATAATTTTGTATCTGTCTGCTCCTGGGTTCACCATTTTAGTATCTAACCAAGCTTTGAAGTCTAGGAACTTTTTCCTCCATTGGGATGGGGGAATGTTATCAATTGTGAATAACATGTTGTTGGTTGGATGTGGAGTGTTGACTTCTTGATTATGTAGTCTCGTTCTTTCAGCAAAGGTTGCTCTCGTATCATTTGCCATGAAAGTATGGTTCACTTCAGCTTCTTCGTTTCAGTGTTTTCTTCAAAGGATTCTACTCGATTCTTCATCGGAAGAAGGAATTGAATCATCGAACCGATGTTTTGGATTGTGTATTGAGAATAAGGGTCCTGGGCATCTTGGAAAATCTTTTCATCGGAAGAGATTTACGCTTTTTAGGAGAAGGTTCGGGTGTAGGTTCGGGAGAGGTTTCTCTTTCTTCGGTTTCTTTCTCTTTTCTTTTTCTTTAAACCATTCCCTGTGTTTTGGTAGAGAGTTCTTTGGAGGGAAGAGTGGAGTTGGTTTAAGGGATTGTCTAGAGATTGTTGGAAATATCTTTGATGGCCTTACATAGTAAGGGTCATCTTCGAAGATGGGAATCTTCTTTTTCTCTCCTACATAGTGGACAAGTTCTTCATACTGCTCCTTGGTTTTTTGTAACTCTCTTTCTTTTTCGATGAGCAGGTTGTTGAATCTCCTTGTTTCTTTAATTTTCCTTGTCTCTTCTTCAAGTCTTTCTATCTTTTCCTTCAATTCTGCATAATGCTTTTGTAGCCTGGAATTCATGCCTCCAATCTCCTTTTCTATGGACAATTCTATTCTATCCATTTTTCTTTCAATTTTTTGTAGTAGGCTATTCCGGGCTAAAGCATTCTTTGTCCGCCAATTTAGCACTTCTTACTGCTCGAGAGATAGGTTTCTTGGATCCTTCTGCTGTCACTTCTTTACTGTAAATGAAAGGCTTCATTACGGTTTCTTCTTGAGGATTTGCTCGTCTCGGACTAGGGAATTCTTCTTCGAAGACAACATCATACAACTTTGGGTTTGTATTGGTTGGGGTGCTTTTGACATTTTCTCTTGGTAGTAGTGCTCATAGTTTTCTTTCAAGGCCTTCAAGATTTTCTCGTATATTGGCGGTGGTTGGCGAGAAATCACCATTCTTGGTTTATCGGGATCGGGAGGAGGACTATGGAAATCTTCATCATCATCATCATCATCTGCTCATCGTCATCGTCATCATCATCATCATCATCATGTTATCGGATATTTCTGTGCAAGGGCATCCTGGATCACACGTATCTGGATTTACATCCCACATAAAGTGTCCATTTATTTTATCGGAATAAATGGGTTTTCCATCTGGTCCGAAGGAATGTACAGGAATCTTTCTTTCTTTATCTCCCAAAGTAATCATCATAGTTGTGAAAACCGTTGAAGATGATGATCCTTCGTCATTTTCTTTTTTAAAGATGGTCTTCACCGTTCCATCCGGAAGTCTTTTGAATGCATGATCCATCTTAATGATTGGTGACTGATTCTTCTTGAAATTTTCATAATTACTAATCCACTCTCTTGGGATTAGTTGTTCGAGTTCTTCTCTAGGAATGCATCGGGAATTTGGATTATGGAAGGAGTATGTTCTTCTGTGTTTGAGATTACCATTAGAGCATGCTCTGCAAATGGCGATTTCGTTGGAAGATCATAACAATGATCTTGGATTACGAAGATCAACTGGTGATGAAGAGTAGGCTGCCATCGCACTTTCATCCTGAGGTGCTCCGACAATCTGGACTTGTACTCGAAATCTCTTTGGAAGAGTTGGATCTTTTAGTTGTACACGAAGTTAGGAAACATGGTTAAAACCACACTTCCTGAATTTAACGTAGTTAGGACGGTTCCAATAACAGCATGTTCATATTTTTGGAACGTAGAGTCTATTAGAGAGACTCTAGCGGTCACCGGTAAGCCTTTTCTCCCATGAAGGGTAAGCACTAGTTCGACTTGCTCCAAAATGAAGAGCCACATATCCTTCTCTTTGCCGAGTTTGATGAGAGAAGGTTCTATCTCCATATCTACGTCATTGTTCTGCCGAAGTAGCATTGAGAGCACAATTATCCATTTTTGTGGTTTGGATAATTTCTTTTACTCCTGATGCAGGAGTGGATATCGGGTTTTTACGCTCAGGAAAATCTCCCTTTGTTTCTTCTAAAGACATTATATGGACTTAATAAGGGTGGTAAGGAGCTTTCTATTTGGGCATCTTACGGGATTCGAGAGTATTCTATAAGATTTTCTAGCCTATGACTTAGGGTTTCTTTACAGGACTTTGGAATAGTAAGGTTTATTTTAGAGGAGTGGCTTATTGACGGACGAGGGGTATCAAGGCTGGTGATCGGTCATGGTGGTTTGGGTTCTCTCCTTACTCATCTTTCTTAACTATTATACTATGTTCCCAGATGAAAAGAATAAATAAAGGAATAGTAGGCAA